CTGCCACTATTTTCAGACCCACTGCTCCCAAATGGAGGCACAATTACAGTAATTGTGGAGCCAGGCTCCTTGGTGAGGGGCTTCTCGCCACCTCCTCGGGGTAATTATGGGCAATTTGCAGCTATTGAAGCCGTCTTCCTTAATAAGGGTGGGAGAGGGGGGTTGGGGACCCCTGGCCCCAGCAATGAGGGCGTATGGGGAGCAGGGGACATTCTTCAGCTGCAGGTTTCCCAGTGAGGAACCTCTCCCTTTCTCCTTCTCAGAGGCTAGAAAACACCTTATGGCTATTCCCTGCTTTCCCCAATCCCCACCCTGGGCTGCAGGATTGCAGCTGCATCCCTGCACGCATCGCATGCAGGTGGGATGGGACCCAGTGGAGATGTGTGGCTGAATGCATCCATCACAGTGCCACGCTCTGGGTGTCCCCACCTGCATGCAGACCAGTAGTGATGTGTTCCATTTGGTGTAAAATGTTCTGCTCAGGTCGTGGTGCTGCAAAGAAAGGAAGGGGAAGGGGAAGGCTGGGGCCTTTGCTGCCCTTTCTGCTGCACAGGAACCCATTTCCTGCTGTGTGCTGGGAGAAGGGCAGCACCTCCAGCACTGCATTGCTGCAGCTGCTCTGCGCTCCTCTCTGTGGGGCTGGGAGCACACAGACAGCCTGCTCCACTCGGGATTAACCCAAAGAGGTGTAGGAAATCCCCTCTGGATGTCCTTCCCCAGGACCTCCCCAAAGGTGCCTCCCCAAATCCCTCCACCATCACTGGCTCTCTGTGCAATGCCAGAGCAGCTTTGGGCACTGCACGCTGTGTCCTCATCCCATCCCCATCACAGTGAGCCGACGTGTCCCCTTCCATCCCATAACCCAACCTAGCACCTGGATGGCCAATGCCAACTCCATCCCACAGCACTGCCACGCGTGGCTCAGCCCAGTGCCAGCACTGTGCTGGGTGGGGGCAGCGGGTGATGCAACACAGCAGTGTGTTGCAATGGGGCAGGGAGAGCTGGGGGGGTGGGAGGTGGAGTTTGGGGGGCTGGGGTTTGTGTAGGGACATCAATGGGTGCACGACAGCTTGCATCTGTGGGGCCTGGGAGTTGTGCCCCCACACTACCTGTGCCCGTTCTGTGGGGTTGGGGTTGTGCCATGTCCCCATCGTGGTGCCATGTCCCCATCGTGGTGGTGGTGGAGGATGCTTGGGTCTGTCTGTATAGTGAGGAAGGGGGGTTTTATTTGCAGGCTGAGTGATGGGTGATGGGGTGGGGGTAGGATAATGGGGTGCTCACCCCCTGCTGGGTGGTCCCACTTGAGGGAAGATGGAAGAAGGGAGGAATGGGGAAGGGTTATCCAGGTCCTTCCTGGGGATCTTGGGCACTTCTAGGCCCTGTGCTGGTGATGCTGCAGGTGGGGAAAGCAGCCAGGAGGCACCACCTGCTGTTCCCACAGATCTCCCCCCCAGCCCCACAGGGATCCTTCAGGATGGAGCAGTGGGGCAGGAGTGACCACAGCAGGACAGCATCTCCGTGTGCACCCCCAGACCAGGGGGGGGCTGAGCTCCAAGCAGGGATGCGCCCATCATCTGTATAACCTACAGAGATGTCACCTTTCCTCTTTCTTCCTTTTTTTTCTTCTCAATTAAAACAACAACAACAAAACACCAACCACCCCAAAGCACCAGCAGCTCACAGCATGCTGCTCCCTTCCCCCCAACCTCCCCCCTCTTCTCCCCCCCCCAACACAGCTCTGTGTCTCCAGCATGTCTGCCCGCTGCGATGCGCACACAGCCCCAAACCCAACCCCAAACCCAACCCCAACCCCAACCCCAACCCCAAGCACTGGGGGCCAGGGGCTGGCAGCTCCCCTTAACCCTTTGCAGCCATCGGGGTGCTGTCTGGGGATGGATTTGGTGTTGGGGGGTGGGGTGGGGTATGGGCATAATTGGGGTGTCCCCATTGGCCCCCACATGAGTGGGGACAGCAGTGACCCATGGGCAGATGTTGGGTGCGGGTGGGGGGGTTGTGTGGGGAGCTCTGGGGGGACCCCATTGTGCAGGGGGTCCCAGAGCGTGTTTGGGGTTTGTTCCCCAAAGCAGAATTGGGAACAGCAGGGTCGGAATGCACTTCAATTCAACCCCCCCACACCCCTCCCCCCCTGATACCCTCCCCACAAACCAACGCTCCCAAAGAGAGACGTCCATCCCCATCACCACCACATCCCCAAATCCCCCTCTGACAAATGGGGCCATCCCCTGCCCACCCCACCACCCCGAAGACATCGCTGGGACGACCTCAGTAAAGCTCAAAGCACTTTTATTCCGAGCACCACCTCAGCCCCCCCCCCCCCCCCCCCCCCCCCCCCCCCCCCCCCCCCCCCCCCCCCAACCCCCCTCATCCCCACCCCAAAAAGCAGCAGCAGACCCCATACCCACAGAGGAGGAAAGCACACAGCAGAACGGAGAGCTTCGGGTTTGATCAGCTTTATACAAACGAACCTTATGTACACTTTGACCCCCCCCCCCCCCCCCCCCCCCCGCACACCCCTATATATATATATAAGGCAACATAAATAAGGTCCTGGGGGCTGTACAACGCAGAGGGACACATCTTTAAAACGGCACTTTTTCCTAAAAAAATAGCGTCGCTCTCTTAAAAAATAGTCAAGTTTTTTTTTTTCTTTTTTTTTTTTTTTGTGTGTGTTAAATGCGTGGTGGGTTTACTTAAAAAATACACCTTCCTCTTCACTGTTAGCTTAAATGACACCGCTGGAGGCACTCTGAGCAAACAGACACTTTGCACAACTTTTCTCTCAAAAATAACTTAAGCTGTTCCCAAACTGTTTAAATATTAAAATATTTTTTCTCCCCCACCCCTTTTTCCCCTTTTTTTTTTTTTTTTTAAATTTTTTTTTTTTTAATTATTATTTT